TCTGCCCCGAGACTCTGGTGAGTGGAAAGTAGGGCACACAGGCAGGGGCGGACTGACCATTTGGAAACTCGGGCACTGCCCGAGGGCCCAGGGTCAGTAGGGGGCCCCATGAGATGCCCCTGGTACCCTTTTCATAGGCTTTTTTGAGTTTGGGCAAGGACACAAGGGCCCCATGATCCCCTATTGCCCGGGGCCCCATGAGTTGTCAGTCCGCCCCTGCACACGGGATCAAAAGAGAGGGTGAAGGTTAGCTTGCAGTGTTTAGCAGAGAGAGTAGAGTACATAGGTGTGCTAACAGGGGGGCTTTGGGGTATAGATCTGAGCAGAGGGAGATGTGGAGTGTGAGCAGAGAGGGGGTTGGGGTGTGGAGGTGAGCAGAGAGGGAGTTTTGGTATGCAGAGATGAGCAGAGAGGGGTGTGTGGAGGTGAGCAGAGAGGGGGTTTAGGGTACGGAGGTAAACAGAGGGGGGGGGGGGTTCAAGGTACCAAGGTGAGAAGAGGGGGGGTTGCAGTGCAGAGGTGAGCAGAAGAGTTCTGGGGTGCAGAGATTAGCAGGTGGATTGGGTCCAAAGGTGGGCAGAGGTTGGGGTGGAGAGGTTAGCAGAGAGGGGAACATGCAAATCAAACTGGAATGCAGAAAAAGCAGTGCGTGGACTACTTTTAAAAAGCATCCCACACAACACCACATGGTACTGAGGTACCAAACAATCTGGTGCCTTCAAACACACTGTATTTGCAATCTGTTTTTGGGGTTCCGTTAAAAAATGCATGGGCACCTGCATGCAAATCATAAGGGCAATGCAATCACCTGTAGTGTGGGAAATGCACCTCTGGTTCTGAAGAGCACACTTCATTTGCTAACACATGGGGGTACCATTGAGAATTAATCACACCCTTGCTCATCTGCTAAAGAGCAGCATTTCTGTGCGTGTTGGGAATGCACGCGATTTTTGCCCCGATATGCAGTAGTGTGAACCAAGCCTTAACTGGGGTGCCTCAAGAATGAAAGTAATTTTCAAGGGCGCCTTGACTGGAAAAAGGTTGAGAAACGCAAGGTTACACAACCTATACACACCTGTCTGACCTTCTCCTTCCCCACCTCTCTGCATTGAAATGCCATGAACATTCAAGCCTTGCTAAGCATCCCTTCTATGTAGGAGTGTTGCTAGATAGGTCTGGTAAAACCTGTCATCAGGACAGAAAGGGACAAAGCCCCAGAGAGGAGTACACACAGTACAGGAAAAAAAAATTACAAAAACACAGAGGCTTGGTCCCCACACATGCTTTGGATTGCAGTGATGCTCTTCATTTCAGATGGCACTCCAATGAACTAAAGCATTGTATCTGCACTGCTTCGTGTTGCCACGCCTTGCATTCCTGAAAAAAAGGTGCAATTTTGGCTGTGCTTTGGTGTATTGCCAACTCATTCAAGACAAAGGGGCTGCAATGACATGATGAAATATAATGCTCATGATCGTGCATGTATTTCCCCACTGAGAAGATGTGAACCTGGCCTGAATTAAATACTAAACATCCCTAATGACACCATCAAAAAAAAAAAACAAACAAAAAAAAACAAACAAAATGATTGATAATCTGCAGGCTTGCGGATCAGCAGTGGCATTGCTTCACTTAACAGTCACCGAAGCAAAACTGAACGTTTCCGTTTCAGTGAAATCTCATAGCAAAGTTAAATTTACAAAACAAAAAAAAAAATGTATATATATTAAAATCGCTCCAATCACTCCACTTATCCCTAAACACAAAAGGTGACAAAAGTAAAGTGACCCATTTATTTCTCTACAGCGTATGCTAGAACCGGATTGGTTACTTAGAACAAAAGCTGTTGCTGTTTTCAAAAATAATCCCAAAATGATACAAACCAAGCACATTTCACATAGTTGAGTGCAAACAAACTCAGAATATTTACCAACAGAGACATGTCCCAGTTATTCACCTCTGTGTAGAGAACAGAACATGCTGTATACACAAATGAACCTACCTTACAGAACTTCACTGTATCCACCAGTGGTCAATATCTCCTGGCCATGTAAGTTGATTGGCAGGGATGGATTTTCTTGGCTGATCACCATTACTACTCCTGAGATCATCACCCCCACAGAATTTCAACTCTATACTTGCAAGATCCCCCACTACACTGGTAATTATTATACAGATTTTATATATCGCCAACAGTTTGCGCAGCGCTTTCCAAAATGAAGTAGACATAACAATTACAATACAATTTGGCACAAGAGGAAACAGAGGGCCCTGCTCATTAGAGCTTACAATCTAGGAGGAAGGTTTGAGTGATACAACAGGTAATAGCTGGGGGGGGGGGATGAGCTGATGGAGGAAATAAATGGCAGTTTACTAGTTAGAAGCAGGATAGGCTTCTTTAAAGAGAGAGGCAATGGAATAAACTTGTGGTTAGAAGGATTGCTCAGTGCTTGGATCATCCGGACTTGACACCATCTGATGTCTGTAAGCAGCTCAAGTCCCTGGTCACACTGGGTGCAACTTAGCATGCCATACAACTTGCAACTCGCATGGCAAGTCGCACCCTATTGTCTGCAATTACAGCGTTCATATCGATGCGGTTCCGACTTGGTCGGAGTCGCACCAAATTCTAAAGTAGTGCCTGCACTACTTTTGGTGCGATTTGCATAGCAAATTGTACCTCAAATCGGCATGCCATCCGACTTTGAAATTATGTGACTTCACTGTAAGTTGCACAATTTCAAAGTCAGGATCGGTGTGACCACGGTGTAAAAGCTGGCCACAAATGTTACAATCTCTTTTAGATTTAAACTAAATTATGTAATTAGAGGGCCTAGCCAAGAAAGCAATTCAGCTGCATCTGATTAAGCAGAACATTGTGCTATGTAGTCCTTGGTAGATCTAAAGGAGATTGTTCAACCAGATTGCAATGCGTATGGCCTGCCTAATGCTGAATTCTGGGTATGGCTATTGTTGCATTGTTCCAGTTGTTATATTGGTACAGCCTGGGTCAATGTACATATCTTTGTGCCATTCCTGGAAGATTCACCTGGAAATCACTGTAGTAGGCAGCCACTGGCCTGCCCTACAGCTTAATGAACAGGGGGGGGGGTCACTCAATTGGAGAGAAGGGGCAGAGACAAATCCACCTTTATTGAATAAGAGAATGCTTTGCCCTTATTGAGAGAATGCAAATTGTTCTGTGAATGGCACCCATTCCAATCGAGCGACCTCCTATGTTCACTAAGCAGCAGTACAGCCGTCTGACATGGGACCCGCAAGACAACAGCAACCACTGTAGTAGCAGTGCCTACTACAGAGATTTCTAAGTTTCAGGGTGATCTTCCAGGTTTTTTACATGTATACTTACATTGGTCCACAGTGTGCTAATGTAATTTAAAAAAAAAAAAACACAAAATCCATGGAAATCAGATTTAAGTCACTTTAAAAAAAAGGCACAAAATGTGTAAAATTAATTTATGATCACAGTTTGCAGCAGCTTACACATCCAGATATTCACAAGCAGTCCAAAATATCTGCTCACATCCTCCAACTAAGGGCAATGAATTCTGAGTGTCAAGAAAATAGCCTGTACATACACAGGTCTGTACATGGAGCAATGGTCAGAGAATGTTCCAAAATCTGACTGTGACCACTGTACAATTGGTTTCTTTTCTACACCACAATTATATCTGGTATAATAATTAAAAAAAAAAAACAACAACACACTGGAGAGTTCTACACCCCCTATGAAAACAGAAATATTTTGTTCTCAGTGGGAGATCTGCTTATATATGTCAAGCCTAAATTTTTATTCTAATAATCCATCATCTAGTTGCAAATACAATGCATGGCAGACTCATTGCTGTATATATGGAGGGCTAGATTGCGGTCATATGTGATCCATCATTCCATGACCTAACCACACAAAGTGACCCAAACATATTAAAAATATTTCTTATAAAAGACTCACCCAGATTATTCTGCAGCAACCAAGCAAAGAACAGTAAGTATGTAAGTCTCCCCATGACTGTAGAGAGGAGCAGAGGTGACAACGATCCAGAAGTCAGCAACTGAAACTCTCAACTCCAGTCTAGAACAAAATCAAATGCAGGTGTAACCCTTGACTCCACCCTCTTCCATCCACCAATCAGAGTGTACCTAGAGAAGTCCTAGGTGGCTATCCAGGTAAGGTGTGGTGGAGCTTCTCTTCAACTGTGGATATGTATACAAAACCAAGTACAAAAGTGTGATGGGCACAGGTGATAAACACAAAGTTTAGATGAAATGATACTTTTGTATTTATATATATATCTACGTGGGATCTTGCTGCCTGGCTGCATAAAAAGAATGCTCGGAATAGTATGTAAAATGCCTTCATTTACATCTTAACCACTTGTCTACCTGGCACTTTTACCCCCTTCCTGCCCAGGCCAATTTTCAGCTTTCAGTTGCACTTTGAATGACAATTGCGTGGTCATGCAACACTGCACCCATATGAAATTTTTATCATTTTTTTTTTAAATAGAGCTTTCTTTTGGTGGTATTTAATCACCACTGAGTGTTTTATTTTTTGCACTATAAATGAAAAAAGAGCAAAAAAATTTGAAAAAATAAATTTTTTTTTCTATTATAAAATTTAGCAAACAGGTAATTTTTCTCCTTCACTGATGTGCGTTGATGAGGCTTCACTGATACGGAGCACTGATGGGCACTGATAGGGAGCAGTGATGAGGTGGCATGGATAGGCAGCACTGATGCGCACTTATAGACTACACTGATGAGGTGGCACTGATGAGGCGGAACTGGTGGGCATTGATGAGGGGGCATTGATGAGGAGGCACTGATGAGGCGACACTGGTGGGCATTGAGGGGGCACTGATGATGTTGCATTAATATGCAGCAATGATGGGCACTGATAGGCAGCACTGACTGGCAGTACCGACTGGCAGCACTGACTGGTGGCACTGATGAGGTGGCACTAGTGGTAATTGATGAGGGGGCACTGATGAGGGGGCATTGATGATGTTGCACTAATATGCAGCAATGATGGGCACTGATAGGCAGCACTGACTGGCGGTACCGACTGGCAACACTGACTGGTGGCACTGATCATCAGTGCCAATCTGCTCTGTGATAGTTGCCGGGTATCGGCAGTACTTTCCGCATGCTGTGACAGCATGAGGAAGGTGTAGCCAATAACCAGTAACTGTATTTACTCGGTGATCTGCTGTGTCATTAGACACAGCTGATCACGAGGTAAAAGGCCGCTGTAATTGGCCTTTTACCTCATCACGTGATCAGCTGTGTCTGTAGGATACAGCGATCACAGAGATTGCCGGGTGCACACCACTGGAGGGTGTGTTCTGGGAGGATGTCCCATGACGCCCTCCCAGAACTGGACAACCATGCTATAGTCATCATTCGGCTATGGTGCGGTTGGCAAGTGGTTAATAAAGCTCACCACACACATTACAAGCTGGTTTTACAATCTCCTTTAGATCTACCAACAAGTGTGTAGTGCAACGGCCTTTCTGACTAGATACAAATTGATTGGATAATTTAGGTAGTTCCTCAAATTACATAGTTTTTGTGGATCTAAAGTTGACTATACGGAGATTACATGGTCAGATTGTAAAGTGTATGGTGGGCTCATGTGCATTGGTTTGAAAAATGTAGAATCTTTATTTTAGGTCTCTGAGAGCAAGTGTACATGATTCTTACGCTGTTTAAAAATCAGTAAACTTGCATTGCATTTGGATTCGTAAAATATATATATATATATATATATATTTATGCATCTAAGTTCCAGAGCATGGACCATATTTTACCCTGCAAATATATAAACGTGCATTCACAACTGTAAAATTCTTCTTCCATTCCTCTAGTTTTTAGTCTTAGCATGTACATCTGTTTACATACATTTACATGAGTAAATTATGCTGTACTGACTGCAAAAGCAGAACCTTCTACTTTGATTTTATGCAAATGTAGGAGTACCAGTCTTTGGCGTTACTAAGGGTAGGCCTGTACAAAATATATGCAGTTTACTAAATTATGCAAATAGTCTGTAAAAAAGTATAGGCTGTACAATTTATCCTCCCTGCTGTAGGTGTCGCTGTTTCAGCCGCTGTGCAGAAGGGAATGGAGGTTGAGAGGACCTTTGTTCCTCTGGAGCCTCTGTAGATGTCACTAGGGGGGCAGCGGTCTGCCCTGACTGATCTCCATGGCTGTCTTTAGTGAGGGCAATGCAAATAAATAGCACTGCAGTTGGCGTGCATTTGCAAAATGGATATTGTAGGGACAGGATCCCTGCTGGCTAGGGGGAGTGGTACCGGTTGAGAAGAGATAGTGCAGGGATGCTACGCCTGGCTCCACTATCTGGCAACTCTAGAACGTTAGGACAGGGACCTTCCTATCAGTTTGCTAAAGGGACCTGCACTTTTGTTCTGCCTACCAGCCAACTCTTTCATCAGATGCTGTTTTGGTAATGTAAGTCTACCAAAGTGTTCTCCCAAGTGTTAAAGTACTGCCAACATTGTTCAGAGCTATTGTTCCCCCCCCCCCCCGGGTTACCTGAGATATTAAAGTGGTTGTAAAACCTTAAGGTTTTTACCATAATGCATGCTATGCCCCCCCCCAGCCCCCCTTATACTCCCCTGAGCCCCATCACCATTCAGAGCTGTGCATGAGAGCAGCGGCTCTCCCGGCTCTGTTCCTCCTCACAGAGCAGATTGATAACAGCAGAGGCCATGGGCTCCCACTACTGTTGATCAAACTCTCTGATGAGAGAGAGATGCCATGCCCAACTGTCTGTGTCTATGGACGCAGGCAGTGGGGCTCGGGAGTGAGTCTGCATGAATGCCCCTATAGGAAATAGCTTCCTATGAGGGCACTCAGAAGGGGGGAGGAGCCAGGGGATCTGAGAAAAGAAAGATAGAGACTGCTCAGTGCAAAACCATTGCACAGAGCTGGTAAGTATGACGTTTGTTATTTTAATTTAAAAAAAATGAGGTTTACAATTACTTTAAGGCTCCGTTGCCATATTGTTTGGAACTATGTAGTGGGCCCTGGACACTGCCTTCCATGTATTGGAAAAAAAGGTCATTTGCTTTTTTCGGCATGTTAGGGTACGCTGTTAGCCAAACACACGTTAAACACACGATAGCACACCACAAGGATGTAAATAGGTCTTTAGGCTATGTATCAGAACCCTGAACCTCCTATTTGCTAGTAGGGCAGGTCATGCATAGGTCCCACAGATAAAACTGGGTGGTCATCTCACCTGCAGGGTGTAAGGCAGATAAAACTGGGTGTTGTCATCTCACCTGCAGGGTGTAAGGCAGATAAAACTGGGTGTTGTCATCTCACCTGCAGGGTGTAAGGCATTTCATTACTATGTAATGCAATGCCCCCCATCCAGAAGGCCATGTACAGTTATCTGCATGAGAAGATGGTTTTACTTCATCACCCATATCGTATCTCAGCTGCCATTTCCCCCTCCCCGTATCTCGGCTGGTTTCAGGTTGGACAGTGGAATGTGGTCAGTCTGGAATTACCTTTATGCAGTATCTCTGCCATGGTCTGTCTCCAATAGCCTGTTTTTCTACTACCACATTACTTGCTGCTAGACAACATTTTGCCCTCAGAAATAAACACACCGAGCTTATCCATTTACACAATCAGCTTTGTACAGTCAAAATGAATTTGGAATTTTTTTTACCACGGTTGAAGTTTTATTTTATTATAATTGTCACCTCTGCATACCCCCAGGGGCAATCCTAGAACCCGGAAATTGTCGTCCTTTATATGTAGAACTAGGGGCATTCCCAGCATAACATGCAATATTGCACATATAATGCACATGTATCGGCATGTAGATTTTACAGACTCTTGTGCTGCAATGCGTTTTTAACATGCAATGCAGCGTACTTTTTACATTTTTTTTCTCTATTTCATCTTCTGCCCTTCTAATGTGCACTGAACCATGTTGTACTGTGTTGCAAAGTATGTGATAAAGTGCAACCTGTGTGGTTTTTTTTTCAGTCTACACCAATGCTAGGTATTACTGTGAACTGACACCGTAAAAACGATGATATTTTGCCAAAGCTTGCAATTCGCCCATGTCTGGCCACCACCTAGTCCTCACATTCAGCATCTTTGGCCAGCTTGGTTTTCTGGCCCAAGGTAACATGACTCTTGGGCATACTCATGGTTATTTTAAATCATCCAAGCACCCAGTGCATGCCAAGATGTGCATCTCAGTGTACAGTCAGAAGGAAAATGCTGGCAGACAAGGTTGGCCATACATTGATCATTTTTTTTTGGTCAGCCAGCAGGCTGATCGAAAGAAAAGTATCAGATTCCTCCATCCACACATTTGAGGTGGATGGAGGAATCCTCCCCATTGCAGTATTATATTCTAATGGCAGGATTCCTGTGCTATCAAAATACACTAACCCGCGCGGCAGTCAACTGAACAAAAATATACCAACAGTCCCATTCGGGAGAGTCGATCACTTATTTATTTATTTCAGGTACTTATATAGCACCATCAATTTGCACAGGGCTTTACATATATATTGTACATTCACATCAGTCCCTAACCCTCAAAGGGTGTACAATCTAAGGTCCCTAACTTACATTCATGGGCCAATTTAGACAGGATCCAATTAACCTACCAGCATGTCTTTGGAGTGTGGGAGGAAACCAGAGTACCCAGAGGAAACCCACGCAGGAACAGGGAGAACATGCAAACTCCAGGCAGGTGGTGCCATGGTTGGGATTTGAACCAACAACTCTAGTACTGCCAGGTGGGAGTGCTAACCATTTAGCCACTGTGCTGATCACTTGAACAGGAGTGGCCATAGATGGATCAAAAATTGTCTGGTCTCTGCTAACTCGGCTGAATTTTGATCCATCTATGGCAAGCTTTAGGCAGAAGATAGACATGTATGGTCAGCAATAATACCTGCAACTTTTCTTATCAAGACCTTAATTCTGCTTTAAGAGATACCACCTCCACAAAAAAAATAAGCAATAAATGCTTCTGGATGTGTCAGATGCCTATGCTCCCTGCTGTACTTTGTGCTTCCATCCGCCTGGCCCTTCATCACTACAAGACACAGGGGCCATCAGGTGAAAAATACACAGTGAGGACCAGGCATCTGACACACCAGGAAGTATTTGTGACTTGCCAGAGTTGCCATGTACGTGGTTTGGGTTGCTATAGCAAATGTGACACTAACACAAGCCAATGAAGCAGCCATGGAGGAACTGAGAACTCTCTTCTGCCCTAATATATCGTTTCCTTTTTTGAGCCCATTCCATGTGCTATCAAATCATTTTGCTCACCACATTCTTTGCATGACTTTGATTTGGAGAATCCCACCAAGCTGGTTCCAAGAGCTATGTGAAAAATCTGAGACCTGTATAACTACCACCAAGCTATGTGCAGCAAACAAGAAAACCTGGACATTTTATTTATCTTTCCCACATGTCAATGGTAGTGAAGACTGACTGCTGATGACACATCGAAAACTGAGAATGTGACTTTCCCATCATAGTGTGCTATTTCACATATGCAAAAATCAACCAGCTGGATGGTGTTATCCTTCCTTACTGACAGCACATGGCTAGGAGAAGTATCATGCATTAAAGAATATGTTACTCCAACATTTCATATTCCTCATATGTGCCTGCTATACCAAAAAAAAAAGCAAAAAAGTATTCTGTTCTCTTCGTATTGCTTCCTTTGTGTGAAATCCCTGATGTTCCTGCCACTTCTTCCTATTAAAAACTGACCACACTAGGCAGGATAATACAGCGCGGGCAGTTCTCTAGTTGTGCTGGGAACTCAGTCTGCTCTTCCCCAATGATCAGACATGTGCTCCCCCTGCACAGTCATTCACTGGAAAGGCCAACCCAGAGAGCACTAGTGTACTGCTGTTTCTCATCCCCCAGCTTTTTGAGCTCCTTCTGCAGCTGAGAACAGAGGGTATGTGATGACTTATATAAAAAAAAGGAAAAAATGGTATTTGTAGCGTTTTGCCTTTCATCTCTATTTTAAAATGAATGAT